AGAATAGAATAGAATAGAATAGAATAGAATAGAATAGAATAGAATAGAATAGAATAGAATAGAATAGAATAGAATAACTTTGTCTGTCCCAGATTGTGACAGAAATTTTCCTTTGGCAGAGCTCCAACAACAGCATACTTGCATAAACACACTCAAATACACATAAAAACATATAATAGGGACTGTTAAAAGCAACTGTTAAAATCAATTACAATACTGTTGTTWTTTAAAAGTATTCAGATTGGATATTGCAAGCAGAATAAGTGACTTTTTGTATATTACTTTCTGGGCCAGAGGAACTTTGAACCTTGTGCCTGACGGGAGCAGCTGGAATGAGTGATGGAGGGGATGAGAGGGGTCCTCTGTGATTAGAGGTGTAAGAAAATATCGATACACTGACACCCTCTGCCTTCTAAGCTGAGGTAAGGTTACAAACAGTTACTTATTTGTCAGAATGTCTGTATTTTAAGCCAGATTAAGTGTCTCCTGCGCTCTTTTTACAACTTTAGTCAGCCTTCACGTTACAGAAGACTAGCGCATGTCTATGTAATTGAATTTTCTGAGACAATGAATTTTGGTTTTTCATTTGTTTTTTTCCCAGTAAGAGGTTTTTATAATAGAATTTTTGGAACAAAAAAAAATCGCAATATATCGCAATATATCGCCTTGCTTACAGTATTGCAATACATCGGGATATATCGTATCGTGACCCCTCTGTCATGATATGTATCGTATCGCCAAATTCTCACCAATGCACAGCCCTATCTGTGATCAGGGTGGTCTTCCTCATCACAGAGCCATTATGCAGTTCAGAAAGAGGGGTTTGAGGTGAACCGATTATTTTGCTGGCCTGGTTTTTTGATTTGTAACAGATTGTTTTTGTGTTTCACAGTGAGGACGTTGTACCAGGATAAAATACTGAAAGTGATGATGGATTCAATGAGTGATTTATAAACCAGTGTTAAAATGCCCTTCTTGATATTAAAAAAATCGCAGTTTTCTCAGCAGGTGGCGACGTTGATGTGCTTTTTTAAAAAATGGAGTCTGTGTGCTCTTTAAAAGACAGCCGGATGTCAATTTCAGTCCCAAGGTATTTAAAAGACTCCACCTGTTCCACCTGCTGACCCTGGAAGCTGAGTGGCTGGAAGAGAGGTGATCTGGCATCTTTATCTCTGCCCCCAAAGCACAACATTTGGTTTTTGAGACATTCAGTTCCAAGAAATTGTCATTAAATGATGTGATTAAAATGTGAACTGCCTGCTGGTACAGGGGCAGAGCATCAGAGCCAGTCATGTGAGCCACCAGGGCCGTGTCGTCTGCGTATTTAAACAGTGACATCCCTTCACTGTTGCAGGAAATGCTGTTGGTGTCCACAGAAAACAGAGCAGGAGATAAAACACAGCCTTGAGGGAGCCCTGTGTTTAAAATCATCTTACTTGATTTTAAACCATTCAAAAGGACCTGTTGTGGTCTTGTCTGTAAAAAAGTTTGAATCCATAAAATCAGTGATGGGTGAACCTGTAGATCTAAAAGTTGCTGCAGTAAAATGATATTTACAGTGTTAAAAGCAGAAGAGAAATTCGTAAATAAAACCCTTGTGTGTGGCTGTTTGGAGTCCAGATGTTTGGTGATGGTGTCTAAAAGCATAAGGAATACTGGATAAAAACATAACACACAAAAATAATAAAGGCTTAAATAGTTTAAAGGAGGTTGAGAAATCCTTAGATTATAGATGTTGTTCAATCTAAGGTGAATAAACATTGAATGAGATTTTAATCTTAGACATGAAATAACTGTTAGACAGCAACTTGTTTTATTTGTTTATAGGTGGTGAGTTTTAACAAAGTTAACTAGTTAAAGAGTAACTTACCCCAAAATTAACTTTTTTTTAGCTGATAAACTGTCTAGAATGTGTCTAAAATGTTATATAGTACTGTTTCTGTGCT